AATCTCTACCCAGCGTCATCCCACAATCCTTTCCTAATAGATTGTAATATAGGATCAATGAATGAGGCTTGGGGAAAAGTCAGCTGGAAGCGTGTGCAGTCTGTTTTACTGACTCTATTTTAGTTTGATCAAGTGCGAATATGCAGCCAATAGCTACATAGAGAGAGAGCCTGCTTGGCACCTTGTGGAGGTTAAAACAGATTATTCTCAAAGAAGTGTTAGCCTTATTGAGAAGCACAACATATACTGAAAGGAAAATAATAAATGGTGAGAACGAAAGAAGTAAACTTACTCACAAGGAGAGTCCAGAAGGAGGAGAGAGTTCTGTGACTTTAAATCATGAGCTATTCCATCAAGGAGTTCTCCTGAGCAGCTACTGGGAACACATTCTGATTCATCAAACCTAAAACTTACATAGTACTCACTATGTCTCAGATGCTAATTTATCTACTAGTCAAAAGAACCCCAAGAGCTATATAATATACTGTTTTCATAGATAAGGAATCTGAGAAATAGAAACATGAAGCTCAAATAACAAGCCAGTCTTTGAACTGGGACTGAAATCCAGGCAGCTAAGCGCGAGGGCCAGGTCTCTCTGCTCAGGGGTGTATGACTGAGCCGAATGGAGCTCGTTCGGAGAAGTGAATGTTGATGTGCCTCCTGAAGACAAAAAAGAGGCCAGACTCTCAGGCCTGACAGACTTTGTAGACATTTTTCTCCAGACCAATGTGTGTGCAAATGCAGAATCTCTTTCATAAGTTGCAGGTTTGTTTGGCATGTTCAATATATTCTGTTTAAGAAACTTCTCCCTCAAGCCCTCTGATATGCAGAAAGACAACCACATAAAGTTTTCTTTGCAATTATGGATTTCTTCTTAACTGAGAAAGAAAACAGTATTTTTTTCCCATTCTCATTTAGTTATTACTTACTTGGAACAAAAAATCTATATTGTGAAATTTCTGGAAATAATGTGGAATGGAGTGATAGTCCCCCACAGTGTGAAAGTAAGTATATTCTTCTTTAAAATTTAGAGCAGTAGTTCTCAAACTTTTGGCCTTGGCTTGCCTTGATGCTTTTAAATTTTAAAAAGACCCCCACGTAGCTTTTCTTCATGTGGGATATGACTATTGCTGTTCCATTATATTGGAATTAACCCTGAAAAGTTTTAAAAATAATTATTTATGAATTCATTATTGAGAACAGTAAGCAAAATACATATTAATATATACAACATATATTTTTTAAAGGAAAACCAAAATTTTCAAAAAGTGATAATAGTGGCATTGTTTTATGTGTTTGCACACTCATCAATATGCGGCTTAAATATAGACCTCAAGATTGGGCTGTTACATTAACACAACATTTATACCTTTGGTAGATTGCACTACATACTCTTAAGGATGAAAAAGATATTACATTTTTTCATATATGCAACTAGATTATAGAACTCATATGTTAATGAATTTATTGAAGAAGTTCTGAAGACATTATCAATGCTGTCTTAATCTTTTACTTTTTCTTTTGCCTTTCCTGTCCTCTTTTTTTTCTCTTTTAAAGAGATTTTGTGTCAACCACCTCAACAAATACCAAATGGAGAATTCAGCAATAGCCACAAGGATACATTTGAATATAATGAAGTAGTCACTTACAGTTGTAAACCTTCAAATGGGCCAGATGAATATTCCCTTGTTGGAGAGAGCAGGCTTGTTTGTTCTGGGCGAAACCAATGGAGCAGTGACCCTCCTGAGTGTAAAGGTAATAATCTTTCCATTTCTTTCTTTCAAATTACTTTACCAAAAAGTAAACAAAACAGTCATATGAATAGGTCAAATAAAAAAACAGCTCTAGCTGTAGAGTTCCCCACCCCTCGCCCCATTTGTTCTTGTTTTTCACTGTATACCTTGTGAATTACCGTGTATTGCATGGATTAAGACTTTTTTTTGCCTGAAAGCACCACAAAACACACACTGCCTTAAAAATAAAGTGTTATCTGATAATACAGGACCTATGACAGTTCTGGCTGAAGGAAACAGTAAATTGTAAAAGACTAACCCCCTCACCGATGATAAGATTGATACATTCTGGATAAAACACACAGGCACACCTTGTTTAATTGCGCTTTGCTTTTTTGCGCTGCACAGATGTTAGAATTTTCACAAATGGTAGACAAGACCCTTACCAACAACACTATTATGACTGGCTTTATTATGACACTCCCTTTCTTACTGTGGTCTGGAACAAACCTACAACATCTACAAGGTATGCCTTTACCTGAAAAACATTGTTTACGGCATTAAGGCATGACCCAAACCAGGGAGACACTGGGGGGCATTTGACTCTTGAAAGAAGGGAACCACTGAATAACAGCAAGATATTTTCTCATTTCATGTACATATGGACAATCTCTAATAACATATTTTAGGCAATAAGATAAATTTTTTAATTCTCCCAAATTGAATTCATGGATTGTATAATATCTTACCACAATGGGATGAATATAGAAATGAAAACAAAGATATCTGTAAATTCCCCAAGTATTTGAAAATTAGGCAACACATACTAACCCATAAATCAAAGAACAAGTCATAAAAAATTACAAAGGGTTTTGAATTGAATAAAAATGAAACATAACATACCAATAGATCATGATGTTAGTATCAAAAGCATTGCCTAGCCCTAGAGGGATATTTATAGCAAGAGAGAAGTCTCAGATTAATAACCTAAGTTTCCACCTTACGAATGTAAAGAAATAAAAGAGCTATTTAAACTGAGGACAAGGAAACGGAAGGAAATGGTAAAGTTAGAAGTTGTTGAAACTGAAAAGAGAGAAATAGAATCAATGAAACAAATACATGGCTTTTGGAGAAAACCAATAAAATAGATAAACCTATAGCCAGTTTGACAAGAATAAAAGAAGATAAAAGTTACCAATATCAAAAACGAAGAAGAGGACATTATTAAATATCCTGTCGACATTTAAGGAATAGTTAGGGGATAACACAAATAATTTTAAGCCTGTAAGTTTGATAACTTAAACCTCACAGAAAGAACTATAGCCCTCATGCTCTCAATGGGGAATTCCACCAGACATTTCAGGAGTAAATAATAGTAGCTCTCTACAAGCCCTTTAAGAAAACACAAAGGATGGTATTGCCTTGATAGCAAAACCAGATAAAAACATTGAAGGAAAATTATAAACAATATTCATTATTAACATAGAATAAAAACTCCTTTTCAAAATATTAACAGATTAAATACTGTCTTATAGAAAAATAGCAATATATCATAATGAAGTAGTTATTCCACGTAAGCAGTGTTGATTCAAATGAAAAAAATTAATCAGTATAATTTGTCACTTAAAGAGAGCATAAAAGAAGAAAAACACATGATCATTTAATAGATGTGAAAAAAAGCATTTGCCAGAATTTATCATCTTTTCATGGTAAAACTTAGCAAATTAGGAATAGAAATGAGCTACCTAGCTGAACCTGGTGAAAATCACCTACATGAATCTCACAGCTAACATTATGCTTAATGTAATAGAGTAATTTATTTCCTCCTAACATTGAAACAATACAAGGATATCTGTTCTTACCAGCATTGTATTAAAGGGCCTTGCCAGTACAATAATGCAAGATATGGAAACGGGCAAACTTTATTTACTTATGGCATGATTATCTTTTTGGAAAAATAGGAAAGACTGAAGTTTTAGACAAGAACTGAATGTGCAGTATTAAATTCTGTGTCTATTTACTAGCAATAATCTATTAGAAATTGGAACTTAAAAAAATATTTCTATTGATTTCAGAGAGAAAGGAAGAAGGAAGGGGAGAGAGAGAGAGAGAGAGAAATATCAGTGATGAGAGAGAATCATTGAGCAGCTGCATCCTGCACGCCTCACACTAGGAATCGAACCCACAACCTGGGCATGTGCCTTGACCGGGAATCCAACATTGACCTCCCGGTTCATAGATCATTGCTCAGCCACTGAGCCACACCGGCCGTACAGCCTTTCTATTTTTTGAACATTCCAGTTCATGTATGTTGTTGCTACCTAACAACGTTTCCTTTCACATCTTTGCATGGCAAGCTTCTTTCCAACTTGAGCTCAAGGATAACCTTCTCACAAGAGTCTTCCCTGCCCCTCTGAAAAGCAGCGTACTGTAATCAGTGTCAGCATGAATTTTTTTTGAATCCCTAAACTAAGGAGAATCAGAAGTTGCTTTTGAACTTGCCCAGAATTTGTATCTGGTAGTCAGAACTTTTTCAAAACTTGCCACTATTGAAAAAACACATAAGAAACCAATAATCTATCATGAGAGTCTGTTCTAGGTGGGAAAAGGTTATTAGATATCTCTATATCTGTTTCCCTGGAATTAAAGTCTTTTATTTAATTAATATCCTGACTTCCATTTCTTGTCTCCTTGTTCCCAGTGGAAAGTACTACTTTGTAGTAATGTTTCTGCCCTGGGTTAAAACAATTTTCCATTCATTCTGGAATTTCTTTGCTTTTCAGTGGTCAAATGTCAATATCCAGTACTCGAGAATGGGAGAGTCATTTCTGGACTTAGGAAAAAATATTACTACAAATCTGAGGTTACAGTTGAGTGCCTGGAGGGATTTCACCTTAAAGGCAGCAAGGCAGTTGTCTGTGGAGTGAACAATAATTGGGAGCCCAAGATGCCAGAATGTATTAAAGGTACAAAGGGTGTCTTTTTCTTTTTTATTATTTCTTTGACATTAAATATCAGTGATACAGAATAATTGTGAAGACGCAAGTAATTTTTGCATGTAACTCTGTGTTGTGTTCATTTCCGGAACAGAGGTATGACATATAAATTTATGTTTTGATAGGCTCTTAACACATCATGTACATTAAACATGAGCCTAAATTTCTGTTATTTGGTATTTTTATGTGTCAAAATATATAGGAAACATTTTTTCAAATAAATTAAAGCAAGGGAAATTTCACCTATATGAGTCAAGAATGAAAGGCATCGTTTCGTAAAATGAAAATAATAGCCAACAGGTTGATCCAGTTTACATTATTTTGTTTTTCAATGTCAACTCCTCCCAGGAAAAAACCTACAGTTTCTCATGTCTCAGGCTTAGTAACTTCCTGCTTTATTTTTCTAAATTGTTTAAATAGCTATGGATTAAAAAAAAATCTTTTGGCTGTCTGGTGATTTGGTCATCCATCATTTTAATAATAGGAAGAAAAATAACATTTTTGCAGCTATTCTAGTTGTTGCCATAGTCCACAGATATAAATAGGCGTGAAAACTTGAGCAATAACAAGCTTTACTAGTAAACGTGCTCACTTATATGTGAAATGATTTAATGTCTTCCTTCCTGGATAATAGAAAAGGTAAAATAGGATGCACTTAGCACAGTGCCTGTCATATTGGCAGCTCTTAAAGGAAACTCATAGATTTACTGCATCACTCCAATCAGTATTCGGGAATTGGAAGGTCTGTGGCTTCTGTTTTTTAATGTGTCTCTTTTATATGTCATCAACTTCGCTGTTTCATTCATTTAAAAAGTGACCTGGTGACACCTGTACAGGGTATCTTACTAAGTATGGGACTGTTTCATTTCCCAAACTGCAACCATTTAAATTTTCCCACTTAAACTAGAATATTTCAAAATGTCTGCTGTCTCCAGAACAAGACCCATGTTGCTATTGCTCCCATCTCTCTTCTCCTCATACAATTACGATTTTTCTCCTTACTGGGAATTTTTTTAATTTGACAACAAAAAATAAATTTCATCATGGAAAGGCAGAGTGAAATGGAGGTCTTGTTGCATGGACTACTTATCAGCTGTTCTGCTTAAGACTTGCGGGATTATTTTCATATGGTGGAAGGAACTGTCTTCCTGATTTCAGTGCTGCTATCTCTGGCTACCCATTGGTTGCAGTAGAAACAAGAGGACTATAGCAGTCACCATTTATCTGGGGTTTTGCTTTCTGCTATTTTAGTTACCTGCAACTGTGGTCCAAAATATTAAACGGAAAATTCCCAGAATAAACAATTCATTCGTTTAAAATACTCGCCATTCTGAGTAGCATGATGAAATTTCATGCTAGCCCACTCTGTTGCACCTGGGATGTGAATCATTCCTTGGTCCACTGTATCCAACTGACTTCATCTCATCACTTTAGGCAGAAGGGAGAGTATAGTACAATGATATATTTTGAGAAAGAGAGACCACATTTATGTAACTTTTATTATAAGATATTGTCATATTTGTTTTACTGTGTTATTATTGTTGTTAATCTCTCACTGTGCCTAATTTGTAAATTAAACTTTATTATAGTTATGTATATGTAGGGGCCAACATAATGCTAATACACACACACACACACACACACACACTCGTTTGGTAGTATCTGTTATTCCAAGCATTGACTAGGGGTCTTGGGACATATCCCCCATGGATGTGGGGAAACTACCATAGTGTGAAGCGTATTAGTTTGGGCTGATCTCACTCAGAGTCCTAGTTTGGCTCTGATTACTCAATTACATTATTTCTATGGGGTTGTTTACTGTCGTTTAATGAGGGTGTTGAACTCAAACAAATTCTATTTCTGGCTTCTAATTTATTTATATATATCCTGTTGTCTTAATATTTTAAAGGATTCAGGGGAATTATGCATGCTAACATGGTAATGAGAACACCTTTTTATAACTCCTGTATATCTGGTAACTGGTAACCTGCTTGAGAATCTTAGTTGAGTGTTGTGAGGTTTCAGGGAGAAAGAGATTTTTTATGGTGGACTGGTACATTAAAATTTCATGTGAAGTTTATATTCATCAACCCATTGTGTTTACTCACAGGGTTCTACTGGGTATACGCACAGTGGGATACCAGGTTTGCAGATGTGCTCTTTTGATGGAGTTGACCATAAAAATTTACAAAGGATTTCAAAAGAGTGATACAAAAATTTACAAGGATTTCAAAAGAGTGATACAATTTAGTGTCTCAAATATGAGATAATTAAATATGAGGAAATTTTATGAAGAACATAAACCGCAGGAATCTTTTCTTAAATATCAAAAACTCTCAATTAACTTTTATCATCAGTTACAGAAAGACTTCACAAAAATGGAATACTAGCAGCATACAATGGTGATAAGGTAGATGTAATTGTGCAAATATGAAAAAAATATCTGTGAAATACTAAGTGGAAAAGAAGAAAAATTATGTATTATGATATTACTTGGATGTTAATTTTTTAAAAAGATATATAGGTTTATTCTGAAGATGTTATTTTTATGATTTATTATTAAACTTCTAAGATTTATGTTATAAAATACAAAGCTACAGTAAACATTCTTATGCAAGCATTTTTATGTATTTAGGTGACTTCCCAGAGGTAGAATTGCAACGTTTAGAAAGTAAGTGTATTTTTCATTTTGAGAAATAATCTTTTAAAATAATAAAAAAATCAAATTAAATGATTAATTTTATACTGATAAACCTGGTGAAAATCAAATTTACCTTTCCAGATGTCAATCCTATTAATCCAGCCACGCCTCCAGTGACAAGTTTTCTAGGTTTGGTAACTCTTTATCTTACTTATATTCCTAAGAAATTCATAAGGTGATGGGTAAAAAAATGATGATATGTATCAATTTGCATTTCTTTAATTAATGAAATGAAACTTTTTTGGTCTATATTTATTTATTCTATAAAATATTTTCTTATGACTTTATCAGAACTCATTATAACTTACAGTCTTTTTGACAGGAAGTGAATGTTATTTTCTAGGTTTCATTTCATTGGTTATTTTTAATAGCCATTTTTTATTTTTATTATTTATTTATTTGTCTAAAGTTTTACATATGTCTCCTTTATCCCCAATTGTTCCCTACCCCTCCAGCCATTCCCACTGCCCCACTGTCTGTATCCATTGGTTATGCTAATATGCATGCATACAAGTGCTTTGGTTGTTAATAGCCATTTTAAAAAATATTTTATACAGTTTGATATATATTGTGTTTTTATACATTTTCATTGCATAAGTAGCATACAGCTTAATTTGGGAAATTTCAAATATTACAAAAGTATACAGAGTAAAAGATAGTTTCCTCTTTGTCTAGTTCATTACCTGAGTTAATCACATAATAGTTTAGGTGTCTTTTCATCTATTTCTATACACCAATATCCTTATATGTGCAATTATACATATTTTGATTTTTTTTCTTTTTTCTTATCCAGAAATGGCATCATGCTGTTTATATTTTTCTAAAACTTGCATGTTTTACGCATACTGTCTTAGATTGGGGGTATGTTTAGATTTATTGCTATCCTTTTGTTTAGATTTATTCGTGATCACCTTCCTGGTGATTACTTTGATATATGCCAAATTTTATTTAACTATTTTCCTATCAGTGGTCATTTATATGTGCAGAAGTTTTACATTAACTTGGATTTATTGATCTTTTCTCCTCCAAGGGGTGTGAGTGTTGTGGTTTTTTTTTTTTAGACACT